AAGTGCTGAAGAATACTTAAAGAATGGGATAGTAAGTTGTGGAGTGCATGTAGGGTTGGTTCACGTTTTCTTTCTTTTGGGTAAAGGATTAACCAAACAAAATGTTGATAAATTAGACACAATCCCACCAATAATTTCTTCTTCTGCTACGATTCTTCGTCTTTGGGATGACTTGGGAAGTGCAGAGGTAAACACTTTTATGATAAAAAGAAAATATACATAGATAGTATTTCTTGTATACATATATATTGGGTACTAATTAATATTCTTCAAATTGTATTATGATAAAATACATAAAGGATGAGAATCAAGAAGGAAATGATGGATCATATGTGAGTTGCCTAATGATGGACCAGCCAGAGTATTATTCTAGGAGAAAAGCAAGAGATGAGGTTATGGATAAAATATGCAATGCATGGAAAAGCCTTAACAAAGAGTGTCTATTTGATAGCCATTTCAATAAAGAATTCAGAAATGCTTCACTCAATCTTGCAAGGATGGTGCCATTGATGTATAGTTATGATGATCGACACTCTCTTACTGAGTTAGAAGATCAAGTTCATTCATTGCTTTTTGATAAACTTTTATAAGATATATTACGACATTAAAATTTGTTGAAAAGTGTCTTATAGAAAGAGGGACGATCCAAATAAGATAATGAATAAATTGAATGTATTTTTCACTATGGGCTAGAATTTTGCTCTAATCTTATGTTGTGCTATAGGTGTTGAGAGAGGCTTCGCACCGATCAAACATTAATTGGAGAAAATATTAATTAAGGCATATTTTCTTTGACAGAGATGAATACCAGTATGAGAGGCAAAATTTCGAGGCCTAAAAAATATTTCAAATGGCTAAGATATTTTATTTAAAAAGTTTGATGCAGAAAGGATTTCATGAATGTCATTGCTAGCAAGAACTAGATCATTCACATATATTAACAAAATAGTAAAAGAATTGGTGGAATGCTTGATGAAAAGTGAGGGATTAGAAGAAGATTGAATATAATGTTTGCTTGTTAAGGCAGTGGTTAGTTTATAGAATCACTGTTTACTAGATTGTTTTAAGTCATATATATTTGATTAATTTGTACAATTGGTTTAGTTTGAAAGAAGAGAGTCCACGTGCTAAATGCATATAAGTCTCTTTTTACGAATCACAATGTAAAAATGCATTATGAGAAGAAGCAATGGCTAAAAGTAATGCAATAGTTGTTAATTTAGCAACCGGAAAATGAGTGTCAAAGAAATTAATATCTTCAATTGATTATACTTCCTTTGTCTCACAATGAGCAATCCATTTAAAATAAATTAGTATCCTTAAATGAATGATTCATTTTAATTTCCAATACATCTTTTATAATTTTAACCTCTAATTAGTATAAGTTTCATCATTTTCAATACATAATAAAGGTACTTTATTAAAAATATCATTCTCTCTTCTTCATTTATTTTTTTTAATTTGTATGAAAAGTCCACGGAATCTCTCATTGTGATTCGGAGGGAGTAACCTATAGTGAATAAAGGAGCTTTATGGTGATCTATTGTCTCATTGGCATGGGAGATTGAACCGGTGAAACTTGTGGTTTAAGATTCAATTGGTTCAACCAGTTAAACGGTCAAACCGTTTATTAAATAAACTAATAATATGAAACTAAATTTCATAGATATTTCACACATAATCATATGTTCACAACTTAATAAAATAAATATTTCAAAAATTCATTACAAATTTAATACAACAATATTGATAATACATATAATAACATACCATAGTTCTACCCCTCATTTTAACCTTCATTTAAGAATAATTTGACTAAATTAAAAAATTGCAATAAAATAAGATAAACTAATTCAAACCAAACTTAAATTAATATAATATAGTAACTAAAATAAAATTTAAATAATTAAGAATATCTAAATTAAATAAGATACAATACAAAAAATAAATAATATAATATACTTCATTAATAAACAAAAAAATAAATTTAAGTTGAACTACAACAAACAAGTCTTAATTGACAACAACAAACAATATTAACTTGACGACAATTAATATTGAATTAGACATCGTAACTATGTTTGAAAGAGACACTGTGATGATGATGGAGTGTGGTTGAAAGAATACTATAATGGAGTGACAAAACTAAGTTTGTATGATTGTAAAATAACACATAATTATTTTTTGTGATTAGGGAATGTATGTTAAGTTTTGACATTCACATATTAAAATTTTTAAAAAAATTAAAATTGGTCAATTTTATGCATGTTTTTTGAACCGGACGGTTTTATAAAACTGGTTCTAGTTCGAATGGTGTTGGACGGTTCAATTCGATTTTACTTCGATTTTAAATCACTAGCGATTTTGAAAGTTTGATCCAACCGGATTTATCTTTGATTCCCGATCCAACCGGTTAAACCAGCCGGTTCAGTTCGGTTTTCAAAATATTAGGTTTAAGGCATGAATTTCATTAGCCATAAAAGACTGCCAGTAAAAAATTCGAACATCTTGTTTATATGTACGCGGCTCGTGATTAACATTAATAACTAAAATGTAAGATATATGAGAAGAAGTAATATTATTGTAAGACATGAATTTAGAGAAAAGATATAAGGAATTAGTTATCCCATTATAGAATTGGAAATCTTGCAAGTAAACAAGCGGTTTAGAGACACAATTGAATTTTCTTAAAAGTGATTCTGCTAGTACTCTAAATTCTTCAAATTGACTCGAAACATAGTCAGACTCACATGTTAAAGAATTAATAATAAGGGAGGGGAAAGGCATGTTGGGAGTTAAAAAGGAGTCATCAAAACAAATATAATCAACATCATCAGAGGTTAAGTTTTCAATAGGGTTAGATGGGGTATTGTTGTAAGGAAAAATGTTTTCATGAAATATAACATGTCTAGAGGTGAAAATGTTATGTGTATGTAAATAAAAAAGAACATATCCTTTAGTGTCAATTTTATAACTTAAAATAAGAGACTTCCTTGCTCTAGAATCCAATCTATCTCTCTTTTGCGTGAGTATAAATGTAAATGAAAGACAACCGAAGACATTTAGGTTAAGGAAGGTGGGTGGTTGTTTAAAAATGATTTCATATGGTGTTTTCTGTTTGAGAATAGGGATGGGGAGGCGATTAATAATAAAAGTAGCATGGATTAAAGCTTAAGACCAAAAACATTTAGGTAAGTGTGATTGAAAATGTAAGACTCTAATAACGTTTAGTAAATATCAATGTTTTCTTTCAACAATAGAATTTTGTTGAGGTGTTTCTACACATGAGATTTGATGTAACATACTAAGGAGGAGAAAAGAGAGTTCATTTGAAACTCTAAACCATTATAACTCCTTATAGTTTTCACTTTAGCATAATATTGCGAAAAAATAAATTTCAAAAAAGTTTTAATGCACGTTATTGTTTTAACCTTGTTTTTCATTAAAAGAATCTAAGTGAAACAAGAAAAATCGTCTACTATAATTAGAAAATATTGATATCCATCTAAAGAGTAAGTACTAAAGGAAACTCAGATATACATATATAAAAGATCAAAACAATTATGAGAAATAGTATCTACCTTGGTGTCATTGGAGGCTCAAATCCCCACACAAGAAATAAAAAATTCATTTGATAACACCACTAATATTTTCTAGCTTCCATTAAATTAATTAGACATATCCACGTACACATTTATTTATTCAAATTTAACTTTTAACTTTTTCAACTTTTTATTAATTAAATATTTATTTGTTAATTTGTATTTAATGGTTTCTTTTAATTTTAGTATTTTACTTTATAGGAGTATAATTCTTTAGGATCCTTTTATATCAACGTAACAATATAAATTATACGTTGGTATTTTTTAATTACTCTCTTTCAATATTTAAAGTTTAAAATTTTTAATTAAACATCATAATTTTTTATTTTATATCAATTATTATTTATTTATATATGCATTTACTCAAAATTAATATTTAAAATATTAGTATTTTTTTTATTTTAAATTTAATTTTTAACTACTAAACCTACATACATATACTCTAATTTTTTATAGTATCACATGATTAGTTTATTTGTATTATATTCTTTTAATATAAATTCTTAATATGCTATAAAAGAAAAGTATTATTTGGTAATATAATCTAACATTTTGACGGTATTGATTATGAAAAAATTATTGAATAATTTAAAATGTTAAATTTTACAGAGGACAACAATAATTTATAAAAGCTTGTATACATTTTGAAGTTTGTATATATTTTGAAGCTTGATTTTCTTTGTTATTATATTTTATAAAAAAAAATGCAATCTTTTTAATTTGTATATAAATTATTTTTTTAGCCCCATTAAGTAAAATGTGGGGATCCGTCACTTAAGTAGCAGTAACAACTAATGCTTTTGCATAGAAGCCTAAATTGATTGCATGGTAAAGGAATAATTAATCATGTAGAAATTAATAGTTTTGCATAAAAGAACATTTTAGAAATTAATTATGTAGAAAATAGTAAAAAGTTTTGAAAATGAAACTTCCTATAAATATATAAAAAATCAATGCAGTCAACATAAATAACCGAGAACATATTATAATTCTTGTTTAATATAAAAAATCTAATACTTAGAGAAAAAAAATAGAGAAATTCCTTCAGGAAGTTGGAAGTCAAGCTGCAAGCAACAATTAAATTAACTTTCTTACAGTTTAATGAGAAAACAAAACAAAAAAATAGAGAAAACAATTTCTCAATTATTATTATTAATACAGTATTATTATATTGATATTATTTCTCAATTATTTACCTTGAACAAGAACATGGAGCAGTATCTCCCTAATATATCCCACATGTGAAGTTGACCTTGATAGGGAGTACTAGCTAGTCCCAGATGCCACTCATATGCAGTCTGCGCTTACATATGTAACTTTTCTTCTGCGTCCATTCTTTTGTCCATATCTAGTTTGAATATTGACAAAAAAAGTAATAAAATATGTCTATTTACCACTTTACAAAGTAAAATTGGTTACAATGCTTGTGAATAGAAGTTCTTCCCTCTGCTCATTACACCGTGAAGTGACCTGTGCTCCAAGTAAGCTCACCTAATTTCAAGAAAAGACAATTGATCTTCCTAATACCACTTCAGTTATAAGCTCAAACTAGAAAGATATGAACCAAGTTTTCCTTATCATGTATTGATATTGAGAGTTATAAATGATAAAATCACGATTTGGTTAAAACTGATTCGAACAAGTTCTTCTCACCCGTTCTGGAGCGCCTTGTGGAGTCCGAAGCACAACTTGACCTATTCCATTTTGATCCTTTGTAATTTCAGTTGCTGCTCTAAAGTCCGATACTGCTGCAGAATGCTCCATCTAAATTAGGATTCAACATAAACCAATACATATATATCCACAATTAGGATTCACACATGACAATGCATCCATTCATACAAACGTCATATAAATTCAATTTAAATTACCAGTTCACTAAAATAACCACATTACACTAAACCAATTGATATAGAATGAATCAATTTCACCTTCCACATTATAATAGCACAACATGTTAATCAACAGAGACAAATCATTTGGATTAGCATTGCACATTCAAATCTAGTTGCATAACTAACATGAACCTATTCCATAAGTTGACACTAACTCTCGACTTTTCATTTTAAACTAAATAGCATGTAAATTAGTAGTTCATTAATACATAACCTATAGTCATCAACTAAGTGAATTAACACCTAACCAAATTTGCATTGCATATTAACAGACTAACTACTCAGAAATTGTTTCCACTAACTTTAACTAGTTAATAATTTCATTAACACTAAGCAACTGAACTCCATGTCACAGTTAAACAGAATTGTGGGCATTGCATAAAAATACAACTGAATTCTAACAGAGTTAACAGAAATATTTTACACTATCTATAAATTGACATCATCGAATCACAATTTTTTTTTCAATAATAAATTAATAGATTTATGATTAATCATTTCAATATCTTCATAAAAATTCAATTTTTGAAATATTAATTGAATATATATGCACTAAAAAAATTATTAAATTAAATAATGAGAATTCACACAAATGCATTTGGGTGAGATTGTGAGGTCTCTTCCAATTTAATCAAAGTTTTTGAATTCAAATGGTTCAAGTTTGGAAAACTGATAAGTAATTTTGGAATAGTCCCTTCGTGATTATTGTGTTTTTTTTATTGTATATACCTACTAATTACTATCCATTGTTAATTTTTGTGCGGAAAACTTGATGCAAACACTTAAAAAAGCCACATATAATGTTATTTGATATACCCTACTAATACTACTTTTTTATTTTTCTAAAATAAAAGCAAATATTTATGATGATTGCCGATATTACTACTCACGGTTTAAAAAAATTCACAAAAATATATCTTTGAAATTAATATGTGAATTATATTTTATAATTTTATTTATTAAGAGTAAAAATATAATTAATTTTATAAAAAGATAGTACTAAAATTCCGCAGCAAATATTGCACTAAAGCTACCAACAAATTCCGCGATAACCAATTCCTGCAAAACAAATTGCAGTTAATTCCGCAGGAAAATTTATAGATTATACTAAAATCATAAATCGCAAGCAAAGGCTCATGAATGTCTGCAAAATTTGCTACAAATTTATTTTTCGTAGAAAATGATGTTTCACAATATAAACTTGCAGGTAATGTCGCAATTGTACGTGCGGATAGTGTATTTCTAGTAGTGGTAACCTAATCATATCTGTTAAACTTTTAAAAATGTTTATATTTTACTTAATCCACAACTAAAGTAGCACTAAGGCTATGTTTGAGTTGATGGAACATAATGAAACGAGGCGGAGCGGAATGGAATATAGATCTCACTTTATTGTTTGGTTATTTTATTAAAAATATCTTATTCCATCACATACACCTCAAATTGAATGGAACAAAAAATGGAGATTTGGATGGAATGGGATAGAATGGATTCTGTCATGTTCCATTCCATTCCATCTACTATTTATAAATTCAAACAATAGAATCAGATTAGTTACCACTTCACTCCATTTCATTTCATCTCATACCACCAATCCAAAGATACTCTAATAAATAAGTGTAATAGATGGATATTTAAAAATGTTTTACATGATAATAGATAATAATTAAACTCTGTTTTTCTTCTTCTCAATATTATTTTTTAAATCTAAACTATAAATATACTGATAAGCCTATTAACTGAGATTAAGTTATTAATGAATTTTATTAAAGAAAATTATTGGAGTTAATTCAAATAGTTAAATAAAATTGCTATCCTCCAAAATAAAGTGAGTTTAGAGTAGTTTTTTTAAGTTTAAATAGTGTTGTAGTCTCTGTAAGTTAGCGAGTTTTTGTGTTTAGTCTCTAAATCTTTTTTATTCAGGTCTGAATCCTTATATCTAATGTTTGTGTTGATTTTCGTCCCTGACGTTAGTAACATGTTTAAAAAAAACTCTGAGTTGGCTAACAGCCATGACGTGGAATGACATTTTATTTTTCTTTTCTTTAATATTTTGTTGACATGGAATCAATGCTTTGGAGGTCATTTAAAGGAGGATTAAATCCCAAAAAAAATTACCATTTACATCTTCTTTTTCTTCAAATATTTTTCTGCACTCTTTCTTCTCTTCTCTGTAACATGTGTTGTATTTTTCTTCTCTATAACATGGCAATGTCATCTGTAGGTAATAGCTCTCAGTCTCAAATCCCAGTTTATGGTTGCAATAGAGCAATGCGGATGTTCATCTCAAATTCAAGTGAAAACCATAAACGAAGATTCTGGAAATGTGCAAATTCGGGTGTAATGTCAAATTACAAGCTATTCTTGTGGGATGATGAACTTGAGCGCAGCATATCAACTGAACCGAAAATTTCAATTGGTTGCAATTGCTCAGAAGTTATGCATGAATTAAGTTGCATCATCAAAGACGTTGAAGCTAGGAAAAAAGAGAAGATGAAATTGAAGTTGGAAAATGAAAGGAAGAAGGCCAATTTGTTTAGGATGTTGTTGATTTTGTCATGGGTCTTGTTCTTTTCTTACCAAAAATGGTAACGAGTTCCATGTTCATGGCGTCTGTAATTTTTTTACGGTTTGGTCCATATAAGATGGTTATTTATTGAATTTCATCCCTATATTGGTTAATTAGTTAAGAATTTTGTCCCTGAAATGTTTTGGCATTTTGTATTTCGTCCCTATTTCATATTGTATTGTTTGTATGTCATTTCTTAACCTTAATGAAATGTTTCTATTTAATTCTTGTTTCTTACTTATGTTAGTGGATTGTAAAAATAGAATATAATGCTAAAAGGCATACCTAGTTGTGTCATGATTTTATAAAGCCAAAAGGCATAAGATTGCAAAATACACAATAAATTGTCTCAAAAGCATAATTTGTCTTAGAATTACATAAAGATAACATAACTTGTCTCAAAGGCATAACATGTCTAAGAGTTACACAAATAGAACAAAACTTGTCTCAAAAGCATAATTTGTCTTAGGATTACATAAACATAACATAACATAATGCCATAGAGGCCAAAATACACAAATACCAGAACCACGATGTCTTCTTCATGATAACAGAACCTTCTTCATGACTTCCTTATCCTAGGACTTCTCCTCAATTCCAATTTCCTTGAAACTTTAGGTTTGATACTCTTCTTCTTTTACAATAAATAGAATAATTAGAGGTGCTGATATAACACAAATCATTAGAATAATTTCCTTAAAACTTTAGGTTTGTTACTCAATTGGTTTAAGACATCTAGGAGTATATGAACTAGGTGCAACAGGTACTTCATCTATTGTTGGAATAGGTGCAGATAAAATATAGTCTTCAGAAGCAAGAGCTAAGAGAATGTTGCAGCAGCAACATACAGTTTCCTTAGAAGCTTCTCATCTGTGACTTTGAGCAGAAACAATTTAGATCAATATATTCAGAAACTTGTAACGTTCCATGTTCAAGAGTCATAATCAAAGTTGTTTGCTAAAGATGCACAATAACAAACTGTTAGGGTACCAAAATTGTTCTCACACAAATGCTGACTTGTTATCATCAAAACTCAAAGATACAGATGCAGAACCAAATCTTGTTCTAACAATCTCGCCCTTTTTGATGATGATGAAACATTGTATTTTGATGAATAATTTTTGTCGAGTAATCACCAAAAACATATACCAGAAAGAAGCACAAAGCTCCCCCTAAAATGAGCAACTCTAAAAAGATAATCAGAATGAAAGAACACTTCCATGATTAACCTTTTGTAGGAGTAGATGAACCTTTTGTTCAAAAGAACTGGTTTATCTGTTAGAAGTTTCTTGAATTTAGCGCATATCAACTTCTGATGAGTTTTACTTCTGATCAATTGAATAAACTTGAATTATCTTTGAAGTCTTTTCTCACTCAAGATGATTCAAAACTTTTAAGAAGCTAGCATATCTTCAGAGTTTGGGCTTCATACATTTTGTTCTGATTTTTTAGATATTTCTGAATTAACATAAATTTTTCCTGAAAGCAAAATAACTAATATAATATTCTTTTAAACAAGGGTTAGTGTAAACATTTGGAATGTTTGGGTTTGATTCAAGATAAATTAGGTATATCAAAATCAATACTTTCTCCCCCTTTTTGTCAACAATAAAAAAGAAATGCAATAAAATGCAACAGGTGCAACAAAAGGATAATATTCATTGATTAACGAAAATAACGTCAGAAGCATAAAAGTACATAAGCAAGGAGCAAAACAAGATAACCATTAAAACAACCAAACAAACGACAGACAGATAGATAAACCAAACAGTTAACCAAACACATGAAATGAGAGAACAGATTCTGATACACCAACAAGACCACCCATCCATCAGTCATCAAAAAATCCTGCACCTTATCAACTATTTCACATCTTTCTTCAACCATAGTATTTTTTGGTCCAAGTATTTTGGCTAATCCAATGATTTCAGCTTTGAAGAACACCTCAGACATAATTATTCTATAAGGAATGAAAGACTTATGCTGATTTCTGGAGATTTCAACAAAATACTTTAGATGATTGAAGATAGTTGAGGCAGGTTGACCCGGACATTGTACATCAGGAAGTAGATAAAGAGTTTGTCATCATGAGACATTGAATCTTTGGCCACTCCTCGGGGTCGAAAGTTGGTTAGCAGGAGTTAAAACCGTATTTTAGCGGTGGGAATGAGTCCTTCAGGATTGTAAGGTTTATATATGTGAAGAGAAACATCATGAATGGCAATGAGTTCTTCAACAAAGGACCTTTAGCAGCGCTTTTTTTGGCCTTTAGCAACGCTTAAAAGCGCTGCCTAAAGTGGCACTGCTAAAGGTAAAGGCAGCATTTTTTTTAAGTAAAAAGCGCTGCTATAGGCCCACTTTTAGCAACGCTTTTTCAGAAAAGCACTCTCTTTTTCCCCCACCTTTAGCAACGCTTTTGAAAAGCGCTGCCTAAAGTGTATTTGCTGAATACCTTTTAGCAACGCTTTTTCAGAAAAGCGCTCTCTATTCTCCCACCTTTAGCAGCGCTTTCTGTATTTACTAAATACCTTTAGCAGCGCTTTTCTTACTAAAAGCACTGTATATACCCCCCCCCCCCCCCCTTTAGCAACGCTTTTTTAAGCGCTGTCTTTTCCCCCCCTTTTGCCCCCCTATAGCAGCGCTTTTTGAAGCGCTCTCTATACCCCCCCCCCTTTTTAGCAGCACTTTCTCAAGAAAAGCGTTGTCTTTTCTTCACATCATTGAATTTTCTTTTTTTTAAATCACTATTTCATAGCGTGTTTTTGGTAAAAGCGCTGTCTATTTTTCATATTTTTATGAAATGATTTTTGTTGAATTATGTTGCACCATTTTTTATAATTTTTCCATAAACTTGCTTAAAACAATTACATTCACCACAGGACTTATTTCAACACTTTGGCCATATATATACCATAATCATTGTACTTCAACACATAATCCTGCTTATAATTCAACACATTATAATTCAACACAAGCCAATCCTCACAACAACTTCATAAATACATTCATTATACATATATTTACAAAACCGATAACTTTACAAATACATTCACTATACATATAATTACAAAATCCATATTTCCGGATCCTCACAACAACTAACTTCTGGATCAAAGTATATCAACAAATTCCAAAACTACATACGACTTTCAAAAATATAATTATCCAGTAGTATGTACATTACATCACAACAACACAAATCTCTATAAACTCCGATCAAAAGACAAAAATACAATATATATACCTTATATAATTCTCAACTCAAGAATGTATTGACACCATTCCTCCTTAATTTCTTCCAATTTGTCTTTCGAGTAAGTACCACACTTGAATTCATCAAAGTACTACATGATATAACATAATATGCATGATTTAATTTTAAAACTAATTACTCAGATGAAATATCGGTTAAATATTAAAATAAATCATATAACTTATAAATTCATACCATGCTTGAAATCTCTAATTGACCCGAATGAATAATTTCCTTCATAAATCTCAATACAAAATATCACAATCAATCTCATTGCGCTGACGAGGACATTGTAAATGAAAAAAACAAATGAATATATATATCAGGATATATAGTTTAACTAGTTTTATCAAGTAGAATCACTATAACAGTCAAAATTGTGAAAATATACCTGCACTCTGATCTAGTTAATATTGTTAGCCTTCCTTTTTGGCACTGTTACTTGTCTTTGTGATCGAAATATTTGTATAGCTCTAACATAATATAAACGAATATTTAGAACAATCTCACATAATAAATAAAGATAATTATTCAGAACAATATATCTCATGACTTACGTATCAACCATATTCTTCATATCAGGATATTTTGTTTGATCATCATCCAATAAATCTATATAATACACTATTTCTTTTATCGGATTAATCGCAACCAACAACCAGTGTCCACTGTAAAATAAGACAAAATTTTAGACGGAAATGTTATATAGAATGTCAAAAAACGAATAATTATAATAAATGAATAAAATTTAGAATGAAATATAACCCATGACCAGTATTATATGGCAAAAAATACAACTTCTCTGTATCTGTGGCCATAAATGCTTGGACTAAGTAATCTATGACTACTTCTGGAGTGTGATCGATTGACCGTGCATTGATACAGCTAGAAGATAAGAATGCGAATTTCTCTGTCAATTGATGCGGAACCAACAACTTGTCATACAAGAACCTTAAATAAAAACATAATCAACATTAGAATATTCATTGAAATGAGCAAATAAATTGTTCAATTATTTAATTAAAATTGATCGGAGTACCTTATGTATGAATGTATAACACTGATGCCTAATTCAGAATGTTTGAAAATCTGATCCAAATCCTCTTTAGCAATTGTTTCGGCATAAGCAAAACCGAAAATACCTTCATTCATAGGTATTTGACGAATTCCACCTTCCACCACATCTGTTGTTCCTACATATGTTTCAAGGCACAACCTAAATCGAGGAACAGATACTTTTTTTTGCCTCGGCCTTTTTTTTGTTGGACACCTTGATAGATTCAGGCATCTTACCCTTGCTAACTTGTTGCAACTCTTGAGCATGAACCTAAAAGTCATATAAGTTAGGTAATTAATGTATAAGATCATAAAGCTATTGAAATTGGAGAATATAATTGACATTTTCTATGCATATATATCAATTAATGTAGTAGTACCTGTTCTTTTGATGCAGCTGACTCGGTTTCCCGCACAATCCCCTTATCTTTTGATTCGGATTTTCTAGGAGTCTAAGATCATCATGTAAATAAATGGTACGTAAATGTAAGAATAACTTACATGTATGGGTCATAAAACATTTGAATACTACAAGATTCATAATGATGTTCAACCTACCTCATCATCTATGAAAATGAGATTTGACGGCCATGCAACATACGATCCTATTGCGTCTCCCACCAATGTTGCATCCGAAACATCGTCTGGTATAGGCAATAATGCACCCCCCCCCCCCTCTAAAGCAATATCAATCGATACTTTCAAAAATCCAGC